TTAAGACGTACTTGCTGTCCTTCGACTTTACCAAGCATAGTTTCCCGTGTTCTCTTACTTACTGCGCTGAAGTACCTCTGCTCATCGCTTTGTTTTAGGGGGGTGTGAGCGCAGCACCATCAGTGCGATTTACAACGACTATCCCAGTTAGAAAGATGTTTATCTCAGACAGGTGCTTAAGGATTGTAATGTAATTGAAATGCCTGTGTGTAAACAAAAAGATTGGAAGCTTTCCGTCATCAGCGACGAGTGACTCAACCAGTCTTTTTACCGTAGCTCCTCCAGACCAACACATCTCAGCGTCTTCCCGGGAACGGTTTTTTTTTTTCAGTGTAGATTCGAGCACAAAACCACCAGAAGCTGATAAAACAAAAACATTTGATTCCTAATGAATTCGGTTTTAAGGACATATATTGCCTCTTTGCACGCCTGCCGCTAAACGGAATCTTCTGCTCGTCGGAAGCAAGCTTGCGCGTTCGTGGCTCTGCTAGACACGCAGAACTGAAGGCGCTTAAGATCGATCTTACTAAGAAGAGCTTGTCCTGTTTCTGTTCGTCCGTCGTTGTAGCCGATTTTACAAAATGCAGCTGATTTCGAAGTTCCTGAGTTCTTAATCATAGATTCTCACACCAGAGGAATTCTACAGGCTCTCCACCTGTACAAGTCATCTTGCGGCACGTGCATCACACCCATCAGCATATGAATGCCAGCTGGCTTTTTAACTTGAGCTAGTGTCGTCTTCACAGAGTGGGTGTTTTCGCTTTTGAATACACTATAAGTACGTCTAAATTGCGCATTCGATCCCGAGGTCTTCAGAGAAATGCTTCGCAAAGTACTCGTTGTTAAAGAGAAGTCGGTGCAGTGGGGTCGCAAACTCTTATTGTTGTTGACGTTCTTCAACTGCGACACCAGAAAACCCAAAGAACAATATATACTCAGAATCTACGCAGTTAACGGGGTAAATATACTTACTTCTGAAGTTTTGTGCCTCTGCATTTTTCTTTTTTGTCATCTTGACATTCTGTTTGTGATCTCAGTTGCACAAATGTTTTCAGTGCAGGCACCTTTTCAGAGCCTGCGACTCAGTCTTCAACGTCTCCTTGAGACACTGTATGGAATCAGTTTATTTCGTCTATATGTACAGACGACAGGGGCATGGGCAAAAAGCCAACAGATGTTGGCTTGACTGGGCCCCATCCCCGTTTCCTTGGCAGAGGCGGATAAGCAAATTGTAGGAAAATGAAAACAAAATCGTTAATTATATAGCAGGAAGACGAGTAAAAAAAAACATAACAAAAAAACATGTAGACACTTGTAACTGGGAAGTAGAACATTGATATCATGAGGCACAATACAAAAATAAGAGAGCTACAGAAACATATTTTTGATGGCACGAGGTGTTAGTGTTTCTATGGTGAAGTTGTTGCTCCTTAGATTGTTCAATAATGATGGGAGGTGGTGTCTCAACATCTGCGTTCCATAGTTCGTTCTGCTGTATGGTACCTTCCAGACATCCTCATTACGAGTAGAATAAAAATTTATACTTCGTGCTAGACCAGCGATCTCTTTAAATAAAGGATTGTTCAGTTTAATGCCCGCTGTGTATCTTAAAATTATTGTGTAGTCATACAGGTTGGTAACTGGAATGATATGCAGAGTCTTAAAAAGGGGTTGTGTATGAGAATCATATGGGGCATTGACGATACTCCGTATGGCCTTTTTCTGAGAGACATGAAGATTATTTATATTGGTTAATGTTGTGGTTCCCCAAACCAGATGACAATAATTTAGATGTGAAGAAAATAGAGAGTTGTATAAAAGGAGTTTAATTTTTACTGGGAGGTCGAAGCGAAACCTGTTAAAAATGCCAACGGCTTTTAAAAGCTTGCGAATGAGACCTTCAATGTGAATATCCCATGACAGATTTTCCTGAAAAATTACGCCTAGGGTTTTAGTAAGGTGCTAGTTCAATGATGGAGGGCCCCAGAACAAGGTTGTAGTCGAAAACCACAGACTTATTCTTCGGTTTAAAGAGCACTGCCTTAGTTTTGGAAGTGTTAATAGGAAGTGAATTTACAGAGCTCCATTTGTGAAGCGAGTTAAGAGTATGATTTGCGACTTGCGCGAGTTTTTCCTTATCTTGACCAGAAAAAAATAAACTAGTGTCATCGGCATATATAACATAAGTTGCCTCCGTACTAATTTTGACGATATCATTGATATATATATTAAAAAGTAGAGGACCCAGTATACTTTCCTGAGGAACACTGGCAGCTAATGACTGTAAACCTGAACGCTGATTGTCGACGACAACGCACTGTTGACGAAATTCTAAATATGAAGCCACAACGTCAAGAGTTATCCCACGAAAGCCGTAATACTCAAGCATTTTAAGTAGAGTGATATGATTAATGCGGTCAAATGCCTTAGAAAAGTCCACAAATATACCGAGAGTGGTACACTTTTCTTCAAATGATTTTAAGATTATTTCTTTCTGGGTTAGCAAGGCAAGTTCAGTCGAACGCCCCCTTCGAAAGCCATACTGCGAGGGGGTCAGAATAGAGAATTGGTTGCAAAACGAAGAAATTCTGGTGTGGATGAGTTTTTCCAGGCACTTAGAGAAGACGGGTAAAATGGTGATAGGCCTGTAATTGGATTGATCATTCTTGTCGCCACTTTTAAAAATAACCACCACCTTGGCAATTTACATTTGACGCGGAAAATTACCCGAAGAAATTGCAACATTGTAAATGTGGGATAATACCGGTGCTAATAAGTCCAGAACGTATTTGACAGGCCTAATTTGAATATCGTCAATGTCACTTGATTTACTATTTTGGATGGAATTGAATGTACTGAAAACTTCGTATTCGTCAGTAGGCTGAAAAAAGGCACTGCTTTCATTGCGAGTTTCTAGGTAGCAGCTTGTCGACAGAGGGTTATGACTGCTATGAACAGTGTTAGCGAAATAGTTGTTAAACGATTTTGCGAGTTCTTGTCCGCGCAATATTCTATCACCAATTTTAATTTCTAGAATGCTATTGTTTTCAAGAGATCGATTTAGGAGTTGATTTACTATTTTCCATGTTTTGTCTACTCTTCACATTGTGGCTTCATTAAATAAAGAGTGCAAATAGTTTTTCTTTGCTTGCCTAAGCATTTTAGTCACTCTATTTCTATGTGTCCTGAACTTTTTTAAATCACCAGGCTTCCTAGTATTTATGAATTTATGGTATAATTTATTTTTCATACGAATCATCTTGAGACATTCTTGGGTTACCCACGGCTTATGAATGTTTTTCTTTTGTTGGATTGGTTTATAGTGAAAACTACTGTTATATGCTTTCAAAAAAAGAGCTAGAAAATTGATATACGCGTCATCAGCGGAACTTGAGTTGTATACTGGGTTCCAGTTTACGTCAACAATCAAGGACCTAAAGGTTTCGAGTGTCTGAGAATTTATATCTCGAAACACACGAATGCCTGCAAGTGTAGCGCAATGAATAACATTGACGTTGCTTGCGATCATGAATATTGGCAAATGATCACTTATCTGCACACCAATGACACCGCCATATGCGCTACCTAAATCGGTATTGGTTATGAATAGGTCGATAAGCGTGGATGAGACACTTGTAACGTGTGTTGGCGATGTAGTGACGTTGACACAGTCGTTTGAATCAAGGACACTTTTAAATGAACATTGCACACTTGAGGCAGTAAGCATGTTGACATTAAAATCCCCACCCACAAAAAGATTATACTTGTTTGCACTTGAAAAATCTAGAAACTTATCGAAATAACACAAAAAATTGTTAGTTTCCACTTGGGGGCCTATACACCACACTAAAATCATTTTGCGCACACTTCAGCGTCAGAATCTCAAAATCAGCACATATGCTAGAAAACTCAGTAACAAGTTCGCAGTCGAAAGTAGCTTTTACACAGATCAATATTCCTCCACCCCTTTTGCAATCACGATTTAAGAAAAACGTTTTGTATTTATTCAGTTTTAGTACTTCCTCCTCACTTTGTTACCAGGTTTCGGTGAGCATAATTACGTCGAACGAGAATCCAAAGTCTTGGAACAATGCACAGAGTTCATCCTCTTTATTACGCGCAGAACGCAGATTCGAATGAAAGAAAGATATCGATTTTGCTTTAGTGGATGTAAAAAGAGTGGTTATTTCACTTGGCGTAAGATGTGCGTGAGCAGCCATGATGAAGAAACGAGACTACAAGAAAAGATATGCCAAAGTTGCTACATCATCTTGGCAAGATCGCTAGTGCTACTGATATGAACAACCCGTGACTCATCTGTTTTTCGTGCGTAGATTTTTCCTCCCCTCGTCCACGCAGATTTCCACTTTAGTTCGTTCTTTCTGGCGATTGTCATGCCAAGCAGTTTTTGCTTGCTTCTTCTCTTCTTAATCTACTCTTCTCTCTAATACTCTTCTTAATCTCTCTGAGAGGTCTCCATCGCTATAATTCAGAAGTTCCTCAGGTTTTTCGTTCGTTAGGTACTTCCCTGTCACATACCAAAACACTCATTGACAGCGAAACCACTCAAATAATTACTCCATAAAAGAAAAAAAATAGAAAAAAGACATAGCTTTTTAAGGATATTACTCGATTGCTAGATAAATGTTCTGTCTGGTAACACACAGATATATCTGGAATTAACACAAAGCACAAATATTATGATACACCTAAAAATGTTCACATCATTCCCTCTTACTTACCAGGACGACGACTGCAAACCTCACTGCTCATGAACGCCATTTGCAGAGGGTTGCTATTCATGTTCACGTTGTACCTGCAGTGCCACCTAGTTGTGTGTTTCTGTGTTTTTGAACCAGTCTTTCCCCGATTAAGTACCGTCGTTGGGTAGCACATAAATACAATTTCTTTTACAGGACGTGTCAGAAACGAAGGTACTCGTTCGGGTAGCGGAGTAGCGAAGAGGTTGATACTAACTTCACTTCATTTCATTTTCTCAGGGCGGACCATCATTTCGGAGGACAATCACCAAAGCAACACCTCCGGTATTTCCAAACGGCTGGATCCCAGTGCTCGAGTCGTCCAAACTTGCCAATGGCGCCGTTGAACGTCTTGACGTTTTAGGTGAGAAAGAGGGGGGAGGGGGGGGCGAGGGGTGAGTGAAGCATTACTTGCCTTTGCCAACTTCTTATACTTCGTTACATCCTAAGCCCTGGCAAGAGTATAAGGAGTATTCACTGGGGGCCATATTTGTGCGTGATGTCTAGAGCGCATGCTCTGAATGAGCCCACATTAATAGGCTGTTAAGATTGGCAATCTTGATGGTGTGGAATGCACGTTGCAAAAGAACCGGGGAGGCTCGCCATCAGCACGCGCTCAGCAGCCACGCACACAGCTATGGCCGCCAGTGAATACTTCCTATATTATACCTTGGTCCGAGCGCAGTGTGAAATCATCTGGGCCCGTTTGCTCGAAGCACTAACCGCGGCTAAAGTTAGCCGCAGTACCTAGGAGGGGGATTTTGACATCACGTGATTGGCTCGGTAGGGATGCGGGGAAACATGGTGTTGCCCCAGTGAGTGAGCGCCGCTCGCTTTGGAACTAATATGTCGTTGTGGTTGCAATATCGGGCGCATTAGTCAGCAACGAATGGTGCAGGAGGCTTTCGCTTTGCCTTACCTCAGCAAAGCATGGGCAATGACATCGCTGCATTTTTTAGATAATATTTCGATTCTGGGCATTTCTAAGCCTAAATGAACGCGATACAACGTCTTTGGAAAGCGGATTGTTGATAGCACACAAAAGCAGACAGCGTCCCGACAGACGTTTCTCTAAATTATCCAAGCATCGCGAGGAGAACGCTGGAAGTGTAATTCTACGGTTCACGCTCGCTGGCCTTCCTCTTATAAAAGATTTGAAGTAAAAAATCATAATAAGGCTTTAACGAACGCGCGTGCAAGGCAAAATTTGTCTTATACTTTTTGCTTTAGAATGGTTACTATACTTCGTTTCAGCTTCGGTCCAGACGCAGCCAAAGCTACAATCGCGAGCTCCGGGCTTTCAGCATCCCTGCCAAGCACGCGCACTCGTGCGGTGCAAGCACTGTTCTGGGCTACATGCTCGCGCTTGTAGCATCGGCTGCGTCTGGACCGAAGCTGAAACGAAGTATACTGCAGACGCCAGCACGTGCGACGCGTGCAACTAAAGTCGTAGCATGCACCTCGGTGCTAGGATAATTTAGAGAAAAGCTCTGTTGGGACGCCGTCTGCTTTTGTGTGCTATCAACAATCCGCTTTCCAAATACGTTGCTATGCCGACAATTATCGCGTTAATTTAGGCTTAGGAGTGCCCAGAATCGAAACACTATCTGAAAAATGCGGCGATTTCATTGCCCATGCTTTGCAGTTTAAGTGACGTAAAGCAAAGCGAAAGCGTCCTGCACCATTCGTTGCTGACTAACGCGCCCAATATTGCAACCACAACGACATATTAGTTCCAAAGCGAGCGGCGCTCACTCACTGGGGCACCGCCATGTTTCCCCGCATCCCTACCGAGCCAGTCACGTGATCTCAAAATCCCTCTCCTAGGTACTGCGGCTAACTTTAGCCGCGGTTAGTGCTTCGAGCAAACGGGCCCTGGACACCAATCGAGCACAGTGAGTGCGACTTTGCGCTTTTATTTTGTATGTGTTCTAGCCTTTGACAACGCTCGAGCCTCGGACTTCTGGTGAAACGAAGTGTATATAGCAAGGTCACAGTGCTGAACCTTCGGAGTGTCACCTCAAGCAGACAAACGCGGGTCACACATTGAACCCGAATGCCACGTCAGCGTGCGGCTCTAGGGCTCATGTTCTCAAGTAACACCTTTTGGCGGGCTAGTTGGTTCATGATTGGTAGAAATAAATGAACTGCGTAAAGGACGAGGACAGAGGTAGAAACGAGAACGACACACGGAGCGCAGACTTCCAACTGTTTATTTGGCGCAGACACAACAGTATATATGACAGCAGCAATCAGCTTGCGGTTAAATAAGGTTTAAACATGACCATCCAAAAAAGAGAATTCCTTGTCTGATAGTGAAACAGATTGCATTTCTTGCGGGAGAGTATACATTGGCGAGACTGGACGTTGTTTCAACCTCAGGACACGTGAACACTTTCTGTCGATAAAAAACAACACAGGCGGACATCTGCCTGTACATTGTTTGAAATGCGGTTGTCATCCTGATTTGCAAAAGACACGTGTTCTCGCAAGAGAAAATGAGGCAGCGGAAAGAAAACTCGTAGAAGCCTACTTCATTAAAAAGAAAGGTCACGACTGCATAAGCATGCAATCTGTTTCACTATCAGACAAGGAATTCTCTTTTTTGGATGGTCATGTTTAAACCTTATTTAACCGCAAACTGATTGCTGCTGTCATATATACTGTTGTGTCTGCGCCAAATGAACAGTTGGAAGTCTGCGCTCCGTGTGTCGTACTCGTTTCTACCTCTGTCCTCGTCCTTTACGCAGTTCATTTATTTCTACAACTCATGTTCTCTCTGAATCGAACGCGAGTCCCAGTCCAACGGAGACGCAGCACTCGTGTTCAATTGATTCTGCTCAAAGGTCCGCGCCAGCGCCTGTCCGCCATTGCTCGGTCACGTGCTCTGAGCGTGTATTGGACCATTGCCTCCTATATAAGTTACACTATGCCTGTCAACTTCCCTCCAAGACGTGTTCAGGCCCGATGCTTCACCTCACAACACGCACGTAAAGCTATGTAGCGCCGCCTGGCGGACGTTTGTTTTGTCTATTTTTCTAGCATGTTGTATTTACCTTATTATTAAAGATATATCATATATAGGTTTTTTCACAACATGCCGTACACTGTTTTGGATGTGAACGCCCTGATACAAACGAGTTTCGTTGAGACAAAATACGAAACTACGAAACAAGCAGGGCCGGGCTTCGCTTTTGCAGCGCGAGCGCGAAGAACGCTTGGCCGCTTGACCGTCTGCTTTGGCGGCAGTTTGGGGCTTGGCGGTCACCTTGCATCGCGCGCATAGAGATAGTTGGCGCCGGGTCGTGTGCAGGTGAAAAGGTAGGAAAATAAGAAGTAATATTCCGTTGAAAACGGCGAGCTGGTCCCCAGCTGTCAGTCAAAGACATTTAGATTTTCTCGCTGTCGGTGCTGCTGGCGCGACATCATTGAACCTCCTACGGAAGAGATGGTTGGCTTCACTACACGGCAGGTTTGTACGGCTATGTGGCTCCACCGCACGGCAACCACGCGTGCTATTTGCCCTCTCCCTTCTGCTTGCCAGTGCTCGGAGCTGACAGGCATAGTGTAACTTATATAGGAGGCACTGATTGGACACAACGGCTGCGTCAGCATGCGGCGAGGACTCGGATCCAATCACGGGCTTTGTAACCAAGAAATGGCGACTGCCAATGTTGCTCGAAGGACTTTTGAAGAGGGCACATTAATGCGCCGCGTTCGCCTCTTCTAAGTGACGCTGAAAATTCAGCATTAAGATCTAAGGGTGTGTTGTCTGCACCTGCAGATGGAATACCAGGTCGATACCGTGAGCGCAAATACGTTGCTCAGAAGAATCTATGTCTCGTGATTTCCTCTGTATGCTGAACACGTTTAGTTGCTTGGGACCTTTGTACACACCAGACCATGATGGAAGCATCCAATATTGACACCGCGTCGTTTAAAGATGCCGCTGGCGCTGTAAAAACCAATTGCGTCATTCACTAACATTCCATCGGGTACCTCATCGGTATGTTTTTTTCCCCTCTGCATTTATGTTTGTCGTTTTAAGAGTTGTTGATGTTTACGGTCTGATATACGCAGTTCTGCACTTGCTTTGTGATATTTTTAGAGCACAGTATGAAGCTCCGTCAAGAAACACGAAACTGACGGTTGATGCAATGTTGAAGCCTGCTTCTGCATCAAAACTGAGTTATACTTTACGGTCCAATAATGAGACTGAAATAATTGCTCTGCTAACTTTTCTAATAGCGATGTCAACAGTATACGTCTATAATTGAAAACAAACTAACGGAGACTAGGAAAAAATTAATAACGGACACACATTCTCTCAAAACACAACATACTTACATGGTTGTAGTGATCCACTATTTCTATGTCATTTGTTATTTGGCTTCACTTTTAAAGTAAGTGTTGATTGGGTCTTTTTCTAGCACCCCCAAAAGTGCATACCCATGCAATCATTTTGATTCCTTCCCGTTAATGTATCGTATCATAATTTTTTCCCGATGGTGTTCTGAGCATCATAAATGGCCTTGAGCTGTGCTCGGCGACTGGAATAGTTTAAATTAACTCACAATTTTTTAAAGCTACAAATCGATACTCTTCCGTAGTCTCCGCACGTACACCCGCCGGCAATATGAAAGTGAACGCCGGAGCGTCGACCGCCCCGTGTTATTAGCGCGATGACGCGGCTGCCGTGACGCCTCGCTTTCTTATCGCGATAAGAAGGGGAACGCCGGACCGTCCACCGCTCCATGCTATCAGCGCCATGACGTGGCTGCCATGGCAGCCGCGCCATGGCGCTGATAGCACGGAGCGGTCGACGGCCCGGCGTTCACCTTCATATCGCGCATGACTGCACCTTTGAGCAATCACTTGAGGCATCATTGACACAAGACGACTGGAAAATTGGTAAAGTTATTCCCTTGCACAAATTTGGTAATAAGTACGTTTCCATATATTATAGATCCATCTCGGCTAACCAGCGTTCAGTGTAAAGTTTCTAAACAGATAATCTATGGGCAACCCGCTAACTTCTTAGAATGCAATTAATTTTTCCCCAGCTCAAAATGCCTTTAGAAAATATATATCTTGCGAAACCCAACATTTGTCTATCACAAGCGACTTTCATTCAACAGTTGATCAGGGATCTCAGGTAGACTGCCTATTTCTAGACCTTGCCAAAGCGTTTGGCAAGGTAACGTACCGACGTTTATTGCTTAAGTTTAATCGATAGGTTAAATACAGAGTTCTCAGCGCTAATAGAAATACGACGAACGCTCCGACGGTATGCTTTCGGTGGTGCTTGATTGGTTAATCGACTCGTGATGTCAAATTAACTCAGGCTTAAAGTGAAACTAAGTACGTCGCTGGTTTCTTCATTCTATAAGATGCTGCAGGTCCGGGAACATGACGCTCTACTACCGTTTTTGGCGAGTCAATAAAATCAGTTTTGAAAAACCAGTTGTATTTTTTACCACTCATGCTTTTTTTCTGGCTTAGCAGTGGTTGAGGTGGCGAGAAAAGGGTGATTGAGCAACTACTACAGTTCTGTAGCCTGTGATATGCTGCAATCCTAGTGAAGTGCCAAGATACCTTCACCAGACAACACTTTTTGATGCGTGCTTAACTTGATGTGGTATTAGACTAGTGCTTAGCTGAATTTCGCCGTAAAAATGATAGGAGTTAATATGCGTGGCTTAAATAAAAGTTAAAAAAAGAAACGCTCGGCAATCGTGTTTCATACGCGAAACGCTCTAGCAACACGCGACACCAGGTCACGTAACGTCGATTTCACCGCTAAATGTAGCGGGGAAACTGAATTGGTGTGTAGGTGACGTGACGTTAGTTTTCCCGCTAAAAGTAAAGGAACTAGATTGCCGCATAAATCACGTGACACATGGTCACGTGACGTCAATTTTCGCGGTAAGTTTAGCGGGCAAATTGACGTCACGTGACCTAATGTCACGTGACTGATATACCAATTTAACTTCCCCGCTAAATTTAGCGGCGAAACTGAATTGGTGTGTAGGCCTGTGAGGTTTCATAATGCAACACTGCACGGGCTGTACCATGGGACTTCACAAGCCACGGATTCACGAAATGCGCCTTCACGAAATCCGGAGCTACTAACCAAAAAGCGTTTAGCAAATTTCAACCCTCCAAGTGCTACCAATGCTGTAGCGTGTCACGATGCAGACATGTCAAAGTTAGCTAAGTGTCCGGGTTTGTTTCAAAAAATAAAACGTTTCAAAACACTGTGACCTCAGTCAAGAGGCTTTCGCTCGTTTTTATGTGCAGTTCATTTCTACTAAATCAGTTAAACAACTAATATTTTTAAAATATTTGTTATGAGATAACATGACGTATGTAATAATCTAAAACCAAGTAATTCGACGCTGCTCTTTCAGGGCTGCAGCTGGTTGCGTTACGCACAGAAGAGGGGGAGGCGCACGTGATGGACGCCTACTGTCCCCACCTAGGAGCCCACCTGGGCGTCATGGGCCGTGTGGTGGGAGACTGCATCGAGTGCCCCTTCCACGGCTGGAGATTCAGGGCCAAGGACGGGGCCTGCACACACGTGCCCTACTCTGCCAAAGGCAAGCGTCATGGACATACTTTGTGCTCATGGTCTTCGTGCTGAGTGATAGATTGGAACATTCATTTTTCTAAATGTTGAAACCCCTATATTATGATTAGGTGTTTAATCTAGAAAATAATTAACGTAATGACACTTTAGCTTTGTTTTTCGAACACATATGAGAAGTTAGCTTCAAGAAATGGCTTCCTGTCTTTTGATAAGCACTGTACATAAAGATTTATGAATTTGCATATTATGTCTAACGTGCGTTAGTTTCCGATCCACGCACTGGCTTGTGTATACTTGACGCCAACTTAAACGCGGTCGCGTATCCCTGCATCGTATGCTACCAGAACCCTTGACCGCCCATGTACGTTGTTAAAAATAAGCAAGGTTTGTATTCGCGTTATTTGTTTACAAATCCTAAAATAATTTTATTTCTGAAGCATAGAATTGTATTAGAAGGTACGCAAAACAACAAAACAGTGTTCGTGTTCAATAGGTCTGTTGGGTTCGGCTGTTCTCTATCAGAATTTTATGTGCGGCTTATAATTCTCTAATCAATATACTCGGACGGGGAACTGGACCTGGGACTTGGGTCACTAATCTTACTGAATAATTTTTATTCACCTTCTATTTGTGTAATACTATACCCTGATTGTGTAGTAATATACCCATAAGCACGATGGAGGTACAGAGAGATGTCTAAGCCGGGGTCACACTGCTTATACATCATACAAAGGACAGTCTGCATACAAACTCGAACGCGAGTCATTGCGAGATCCGTGCTTCGAATGCCGCATGGCAATAAGTTCAAGGAGAAACATAGCACGCGGCATTAGAACCACGAATATTGCGCTGACTCGTGTTTGCAGACTGTCGTTTGTAAGGTGTATGAGAAGTACGACCTCAGCTTAAACAAGGTTAACCTCGGTGGATAATTTTCACTCGGAGTTCCCGGACCTGCTGCGAGGGGCACTGATGGCCAGAAGCTTTCTAATCGAAGCGAGCGCGCACCTGTTCATGCGCTAGCGGCGCGTAGGGCCTTGTAAGTTGATGGGCGAATAAGGACCATAGGGGTAAAAGAAACTGAATGCGCTTGTGCACTGCATCTAAATGGGTGCTTCTTCTTTTAGAGCCACGTGCATTTCCAATTGTCGTGCAATGTTTTCAAATTATTTTTCGGTTCCATAAAATGAGTCGTTCGCAATGGAAATCATTGCATGACGTGCGCTCAACTCGCAATCAAGAGGTGCAGTATTGAGTGAGACTTGTTCGAGACCATGTTTTGCCACAGCACCTTCCTAATAGATTTCTCGCACTATGTATGAATCTGACATTGTGTTTGGTGTAAATGTCGAACATACCCGTCTTGGTTAGCGGTGGCTCAAATGTTCGATGAAACTCGGTTGTGTGTCCCGTAGGCCAGTGTTTCCCAACATGTGGGTCACGATCTCCATACATTAAGCAGGGAGCTCAAAACGGCTTTTGAACTTGAACAAAAAAAGTGTGAACTTGTCTGGCGTCGACAGGAAAAGAGAAGGTGGCCACTCAACATCAAGCCGGAACTAGGAGGTGAAATGTACAAATTCTTCCCCTTGCTGAGAAACTGTGCTCTGAAACCGAGGTCTCTTTAGTCATTAAGAACACTCATTTCTATTGACCCACAGACTTTTTTTACAATGATTTTTAGCCCAGCTAATTCAATTTGACTATAATAAATCGGAAATAAAATTTTAGTGTCAATTTTGTGCATTACAGTTAATGCACCAAAATTGAGAAGCCTTTAGCATCGCGAAAAGCCAAAGGGGTGTTGCGACGTGGTATTTTATAATATTTGTGAATCGCAGTGTAGCAGATTTGGGGAGCATTCCCTACCGAAAACAAAACAGTATATTTTTTTCCTAACTGGATTATGGAACTGGAAATATAACTAGATTTATTATTGAAAACCTGAAATTTAGGTTGCAGACGTCTGCATGTTGGATTTCAGGTTTCCAGCAAGAAATTTAGTTTGATTTCCTGTTTCAAAATTGAATCAGTGAAAAGTTATATTTGTTTTTTCGGTAGGGTTGTAGTAAGCTTTAGTTTTCATACAACTGCTTGCATGCACACCTGGTTTTGTGTTGTAGTGGTAAGCGTGTTCGGTAGACACACAATAACAGCTGCAGTTTGTTGAAGACATGAAGCATCCTGCGTTTCTATGCAACACTTCTCACCTCGCCAGTTTCGAGTCGATGATATACCCATGACTTGGATGGCAGGCATGAAAGTGCGGATTATCAAACGCGCTTGAAAAGGAAGAAACGGCTGTTGTAGATCGGCCAGTATCGGTATGCCCTTGGTCACCCTGCTCGTCACCTGTCGCATTCCTGCAGTTCAGATTGAATGCTGACGATGACGATGCGCAGGAACTTCGATCAACATCACAGTGTTCCATTCTGCTGAGAGATACGGCAATTTTCTTTTCCGGTGGTGCCGAAAGCTGCATTTTTTTTATTTTCGGAGTTTATGGCAGAAGGAACGGGCAATCCGGAAACTTTGTTAATACGGCGTTCTTTGCTAAGGTTGCGCGTTGTGGTGTACTGGCCAATACGTTCCCATATGATTTTGCCGTGGAGGTTTTTAAAACAAGGTCAGCTTCGAAATGTCTCTCACAGGCATGGTCCGTCGCCTGAAGTCGGTGATCCTTCCCTTGTACTGCTTGTCGCGAGAGGTTGAGTGTTGTGCATCGTTAGGAGTAGAAGATATCGAAAACTGGCGACAGCTTTTACACTTTTTGCCGTTCACAAGGTTCATAAGTAGCATGGCATAATTACTAACAAAACAGTACAAAACGCGGCAACGAGTGGGTCTCGAGTGACTCTCATTGATACCATATATCCTCTTAAATATTCTAATAGATCCTCTTTAAATTATAATGTATTAAATAAACACGTAAAAAAAAGTCAGAACAAAAATATTTAGAAATTGAGGGTCTCATCCCCGGGCATCAAATAGACCATTTGCTATATTACCCAAGCATCAAGGAAAATGCAGGGATTGGTGTTCTACGCGCTACACGCGCATGCCTTCCCCGTATAAAAGATTCGAAGTTAAATAACCAAAATAAAGCGTTGACGAACGCGCGTGCAAGACGCCTTTTGTTTTAGGTATTTGCTTGAGAAAAGTTACTACTGCTGAGGCCAGCACATGCGGCGCGTGGAACACCAATCCCTGCATTCTCCTTGACGCTTGGTTAATATAGCAATAGGTATATTGTGGCTCATCCGCCAAGCCCCGTGCACACAGTGCTCAAGCCTCAATTCGAAGCCCAATGCACGTAACACCATATCACGGCGCTTGTCCAAACTTCGAGTGAACCTTCTCCAAACTCGCTCCACGGTGAGGCAGCGCCGTTCAGACACATCTCTCTTGCTCCACCGTGGCCCTAAGCAAGAGGCTAGTCAAAGGCTTAAAGGCGAGCCAACACGGATCCGCACTGTAAAAGCGAAAGGACAAGGTGCATTTCCTGCGCTTGAATGGTTGAGTCGATTAGTATAGACGCACAACCAAATAAAAAATGCCGTTACATTGCACTTTTGTAGTTACCTGATTGGTTTCATCGGTTTATAGCGTCAAAAATGCTCTGACGTAAAGTGAAAAAAAAAATGGACAGATTCCCCGAGGCGAGACAAAGTTTTTCAACTCTCAATTTAACACTTTAAAAATATGTGGGTGAACGCTGTTATGTTCCTGCTTTATAATAGGGTAATTAATTATCTCGAACGTGGAAAAAGGTGCGATCATTAAACTCTATTGATCCTGAAATTAAAAATTGAATTGAACAACGATACTGCTACGACAAAAGGCAGGAATGGCCCTCTTTCGTCGCCTGACGCCGCTCTTTACGCGTGAGTATGCGCAACGAGCGTTGTAACATAACACAAGACAGACATTGGACGTGTCAAACGAGCCCCTATAGCTTCCAGCGTGTCGTTAGCTTTGAGGTGATCGGAGATCGAAAAGATGTAATAGATACATTTCGAAAGGCTGGCCTCTTCTGACAGCCGTGGAATCTCTGTACAATGGCGAACTAAGATCGCGACGTCATGGCAGTCTTTATGCGTTTGGTTAGAATAGAAGGAAGGCAGAAACACATCATCCACAGAAAATGTGATGAGGGTAGTGACGTAGCAGTCTCGACGCTATTTCATTGGGTCGTCGGCTCCTAGCGTTGGCCGAATTTCGACGTTCGCTATCTTATGGAGTGACTCGCACGTTCCACGATGCCAGTTGCTCCACCATGTGCAGTGGTTCTAACCTTTAATAATCGGCACGTGTGTTTCTAAACGGGTCTATTTTGAGCCTCTGAGTGAGAGGACACTCGTCAAAAAGAACTTATATAAAAAAAGTGTTATTAGAAAAATATAACTTTGTGTGCAATGATGCAAACTTCAGAAAAATAAACCAGTCAGTGAAAAAACACCAGGGGCGGATCCAGACCTCCATTTTAGGGGGGGCGGTTCCTCGGTGTAAAACGGCGGGGGGTGGGGGAGGGGGGAAGTGTTTATATTTTTTGTGGAGTTATCGTTTTTACTAAACTCTGATAACATAATATAGATCTTGAGAGCTTTTCTACCAGTTTAACTGTCGGGGATGAACTCTTTGAATTAAAACCTTTCGGGTGACCACGCTAGAGGTCAGTATCTCGAAAATTGTGGTGACACTATCCTTTCTGAAACTTGGGTTTCAGACCGACACTAAGTGAGCAGTCGATTTAGGGCAACTTAAAAACATTGCCTTGGCAGACATTCTGGTTGGAGCTAGTGCTCAACTGCTGCGGCAACGGGAAGAGCGGCTTAAATCAGCGGAGCGAGTACGTTGCAAGCAAGCGACAAAAATGGCCCGGCGGCTTCGACGCTGCTCGCGGCGTCAAAACACTGTTGACGCAGCGAGCGAAACGAACGCTGCCAGGCAAGTTCGTCAGTTGTTCGCCGTATATTTGGAATGTCCAGAGTGCAGCACATGCGGCATTGCCAACCCAAACTCGTGTTTTCACGTGTTCTGGATGCAACTCGAGAGAACGAAAGCGAAGAATTGTTGAATATTTTTGAAAGCATGTTGCAGTTCGGCAACTATAACTTTTGAACTTAGACAAGACCTTAAACCAGCAATGGATCCTTCCAAATTATATTCAATTGCACTTCGTCTGGATATTTTTTGTATCAAAGGAACACTTACTTGTTTCTGGGTAGTTAGCTCATTCGTCAGGGTCGAGAGGACAGGTGCAGAGATATGATAGGGCAGAGCGGTTGTAAGGTCGGCGAATCTCAACTGAGCTAAAGGCCGATCACGACTGCAGCATGGATGTTTGGGAGTCGGTGTTCACTCGAACGGGCAGAGGCGCTGTCCATTTAATTTATGTATAGCCGCATCTTTGAAAGGGCTCGTTTTTCCCAAGTCCGCCTTTCCTAAAATATGCGCCTTTCCTCAAATATGTCCCGCCACCCTAAGTTGAAACGGCATTGTGTACAAATAAATGCCTACGGCGTCGGCTTGAGGACCCCGTGTAAGCAGCCTCCAGCCTTTAGAGTGCTCGTACCGTTTATCTTTCTTTTATTAGCTTTCCGCCACGAGAAGTCGTACCGCAGGCAGTATGAAGCCCATTAGAGGAAACATCTCCCCCTTCTGGCGCTCGTCGGCTTCTTTCTGTATTCCGCGCTGCGGCGCTGATCCTCAGTGAGGGATGGAGGCGAGGACGAAAGCGGGCTTATGTTTAAGCCAAGGTCGTGGGGAAGTCCGGAGCGTCTTCAGGAGAAGCTCAGACCCAGACTACACTGTACCCAGAGCATTTGCTTCCTCTCTCAGTTGAGAAGAAAAGCAATTGGTCTCCTGGTTGTACAAGCTGCATCCCCCCTCCCCCCCTGGAACGTCTCCTCCCGGTACGTCCCCTCCTCACTTCCCTTGGCAATGAGCACACCGTGCCAATAAGATACCTTTAGTGAGCCCGTGGGCGACAGCATCTCAAAGCAAGCCAAAAAAGACGTGCCTAAAGACAAGCCCAGAACCACGAAGAAACCATCAAACGAAAAGTGATGAAAAGGCGGCCGCTAGAGAGGAAGGATAATCCGCTACCCTTGAGGAAGGCTGCTTGACGTCTGCGTTTGGGAGCTTTCAGGGCACAAATGTTTCGCAGACAACCCCCAAAGAGAGAGAGAGAGAAAGGGACTAGATATGGTTGAAGGTATTTTCCCCCCGTGCTCGACGTGCGGGCCTTGTTTGGAAGTGTGCCTGCAGTCGAGGACCCTGATATTTGGTGCGCATTCCCCACTGTCTCTCCACTTCGAAACTCCTGGCACCGTCCCTGTCGGGAAGACGTACCGTGACCTTGACGGAGATAAACCCCACTTTGGAAGCGCCCAGCAGGCGCGTCCACCCACCGCTGTTTTAATCTTTTTCTCGCGTCGATTGCTTACGTTTTTTCTTCGAGCTGACGAAGAACCCCGGGGGGGGGGGGGGGGTTGCCTGGCGAGGCGTTTGGGGGGGGGGGGGGGGCGATCGCCCCCACCGCCCCCCCCCCCTTGGATCCGCCACTGAAAAACACTGACATCTCCTTTTAAATTGATTTACTGCCATTGCTGGAGCTATACCAGAAGTTAGAGGACAGAGTTGGTACACCATCGATTTTTGCTTATAATGCATTTAATGTGCAATTGAATTATAAACACAAAATATGAACACGTGCAATTTCCTGATGGAATCATTAATTGATCTTATTCTGTTATCTATCTTGCCTTGCGTATTGCGCTTCTTTTTAAAAGACACCATTTAACCAATGCAGTTCCTGAATTTGTGAAAGCCAAGACGTGGCCTTGCCGGGAGATAATGGGACTCCTCTTCGTGTGGTACCACGCGGAGGACGAGACACCAGGCTGGGAAATACCGGACGACATCCTCACCAACGAGTATGAGCCCTCCCCGACAGGGTCGTTCGAGCACGTCGTCCACTGCCACATCCAGGACATCGCCGAGAACGGCGCAGACTTGGGTCACTTCAACCAGATCCACCGAGCTTCGAGCCTCGTTGACGGCAAAGAGTTCTCGAAGAACCTGGGCGAGTCGTGGAAAGGCCGCCTCTTCACCCACCACTGGGATGCCACATGGACGTCAACTGGTCACACTGGTGTGATGAAGGCTGTTTCAAGCGTCGAACTACTGGGAATGAGGCCAAAGCATCTGCGTTATTACATCGAAGCTCGGCAGCACGGCCCTGCTCTAGTGACGATCAGTGTGCACGGGAAAGCCGGGAATTATGTGGCGGTTCAATCTCTGGTGCCAGAGGGCCCATTCAAGATTAGAATGCAGCATCGGCTGTACTTCGAGCCTGGTACCAACTGGGTTGTCCGGTTGTTCCATACAATGGCAATGCGTCATATGGTAAGTACGTGTTTATTCTACAAAAAACAATATTCTCACTGTCCTAATTAACTTTCTTAATAACAAAAAGATTCCTTTCGCGTCACTGAGGCTTTGTACACACATACATAAACGTAGCCCTTAAACACATAATGTGTTTGCATGCAAATGTACATGCTTTGAGATACTAGAAGATTGCCTTGAGCTCGACCATAAAAAGTGGGCTTTTCGAGTGTACAAAATGAAACATATAAATGTACAGAATTCCATATTGTTCCTGTACATCTGGTAATCGGGATATATAGCCAGCTTGAGTCGGCTACATACACCGAGTGTTAAAACAATAACGGCACTCCGACAAGCATGTTTAAAATTCAGCCTCAAATTCAATACCCTGAGCAAAAACTTCCATCCAATGTATAAAGGCCTTATCCACATAAACGCTGAGTAGTACATTGGTCATGAGGTATTGTAGGCGAAAACCTTCTTTCTCACGCTTTAAATTAAAATCGTTACTTGGTACTACACTAAAATGATATTTTTAGTTATATTTACAGAACGCGCATTAAATATTCTTAATATAAGCATTAAGTATCATTTTGGTAATTTCGCAGAAAGTCCGAGTTGAGCATGCCCACGCGTTGCCCAAGCAATGCACCCGTGGACCCTACTAAATGCTTACTCTGCCCCCGCATAGCCGAGGTCTGACGCATGGGGCCATGCACGGGCAGCTTGAGTTGGGCATGCCCACGCAATGAATTTCTAAAACCCACCTCTGTGCTAACTCGGCTTACCTATAGCCGAGGTGGGACTCGCGGAAGCATTGCGCGAGCAGCGGCCCCCGTGAAGCCCACCTCTATGCCATGAAGGCATTGCATGGGTAGCCCGAATTGGGCATGCTCACGCTGTGCTTTTGTGGAACCCACCTCTACGCTAACTATGCCCCTGCATGGCCAAGGTATGACCCATGGAGGAATTGCACTCGGAGTTCTAGTTAAGCATGCCCACGCGGTGCTTTCGTGGTGCGCACCTCTGTGCTAACTCTGCCCCCGTATAGCCGAGTTGGCATCCACGAGGGCCTCGAACGGGTAGCCTAAGTTGGCTAGGGCCACACGTAGCCGAAGTGAAACTCATGGGGGTACTGGGTCGGCAGCCCAAGTAGGCGTGTCCTCGTTTCGCCCACATCTATGCTAACTTTGCTTTCGCATAACCGAGGTGGGACCCACGGAGATATTGCATGGGCAGCCGGAATTGGGCCTTCCAAAATCGCACCGACGTGGGACCAAGGGGGTTATCACAGGGGCTGCCACAGCCCAGTTGGCCCACTTGGGGTCCATTAGGGTCTCTTTCATGTGCTGCCTAGGGTCCTCAAATTTTGATGTTCCAGCAAGCTATGCGTCATCACGCAAGTTTTAGAAGCAATCCTAGTACCCATATTGCATTCAGCAGCATTGTTTGATGAAGTTTTATGGCGAATCAAATACTTCCAATTTGGGGTAGCAGATTGTCACAGGGACAGTATTTACAACGGTAAATACTGTGTCAGTAAACGATAAAAGACAGAAAATAAACATATTTAAATATAGGCTATGCCACAAAATTTGAACTTCTAGCGCTTTCTTGAAGTAGAAGCAACAACTTAAGATTGTTGGGTTCGCTGCGAGCACAGATTTTTTTTTATTCCAGGTTGATCGAGACGCCGAAATATGGAACCACAAAATCTTTCTCAAGCAGGCAGCTCTGGTCAAAGAAGACAAGACCATCGCTGCCTTCAGGAAGTGGTACTCCCAGTTTTACAGCGACAACAGCACCACATGGCAGGAGTTGAGAGAACGGACTCTAGAATGGTGACGGAGCGAAAGGACATGTGGTTAGAGAAACGTGGTGCAGTGCTTGGGGGACATTCTCCCCGATAGTATTTAAACGACATCAAGACCAACACGTGGCACTTCATTTGATATTCCCTCTATAAACTGGACATAAAATGGGAATTCATAACACTGTTCATGTCTTTATACTCGTGAAAAATAAACGTAGATTCATTCATCATCATCGTTACTAATTAACTAATAGGAGTTAGAGGTCAAAGCGAGATCACTGGACAACAGCACAGGATGAATATATTTTGTTTCTGCCAAGCCATGATTAATAAAATGAATTGTTAAAGTAAAAGCAAAATAAATGATGATAATACTCTAAGAAAAACTTTGGGACCATTCAAAAACTCTGCAAGATTGATGAGTAAATGGGGCTTAGATTTTTTCTATACATTGTATTTGGGTCACTCCTGGCCACCATGGCAGGGTCAGGGAACACTTCCTGTTCGGGCATAGTTTGCATGCTTTTCAAGGGTAACATATCTGCTGTTTCGGGTGCTCCGCAATTATATCCGTATTTTGTTATGTTCTTCGCGCCTACTGGCTTCTTGAAGTGCTGTAATGCTTTGCAATTGACTGGAAAACTTTGCTGTGGCAGATCTGGGTGAATTAAAAGACGCCGCAGCCGTCGAGCATGGACAGTCTTTGTGACGCTCGCGTCGATTCCACGCTCAGCACTAGATATGCATCATCGCTTAGTCTTCAAAATAAAAGATGCGCACACCCGACTCTTCTGGACAGGGTAGAAACTTGATCGAATGGGTCACACTTGATCTCTTATGTAAATAAAGATTGATTGAAACATTAATATATATTCGCCACCTTTGGACGTCCAAGAATATAACTTCATATTTTAGCCGGAACCCCGGTGTTCATAACAAAGACCAATTTGGTACCGCATAAAATATTTAATAATTAAAATAATAGTGATATTTTATTCAAATCTTAGAGCAGAGCGAAATGCCGCAGCTAATTTAAGGGTGCATGGGCGCTTGCGAACAGACTGTTTTTCGTGAGAGTCATAAGCAAACTCCTGCAAAAACCCAAGGACGAATTAAGAAAAAAGAAGGAAACGCACCAGTTCAGAGTTTGTGTCAGCGGAGGACTTCGGAATGGGTGGGATCTATTGACATGAAACAAAACTTGAGGTTCGATTGTCAGTTTCGAAGTTCGAGAGCGACATATTTTTTTAAGCGTGCAATAAAGCGTCTTTTCGTGACACGATTGATGCAGGACGTGAAAGATGGCATGAAACTCCTGGTGGCCTCCTTCCGATTTTATTACTCACCTACGTCGTCAATCATGACAGCGCCTAATTGTGTGTGTCTCCGCCTAAACAGAACAGTTCAAATCAATGGAATATCTCCCCAGGAGTGTCGCGTGACCATAACAAGTCGGACGCGAAACTAGTTTTCGTACGTTATCACCTGGGTCCTAGAATCTGAAATAGCCTTTTCGCGTCTGCAGCTGTATCCACGTAAAGAGATCGCCGCGGTAGGTCGAATTTGTCACAATCAAAGTATCTCCACCAATCGTCGAAAGCACGCCGTTTTCCACATGGAACGAGCGGTGCTATCGAACACACTGCGTTGGCATTGTCCAAATCACAATATCTCTACTTGTCGTCGAAAACGTACTGCTCGAATTTTCCCTGGTACAACTAAACACGAGTAACGCAATCCTTTACACCCCTTTTCACGTTCAACAGGCGTAGCTTAGTTATCGCTTTGGCCAGCTCGAACACTCATGGCGACGACACGCAGCTGATGAAGCGATGTTTGCTCGTACACGCTCTACCGTGCACGAAAAGCACGAAACAATCACAAGGGCTTTGGTTGATATGTGGGCGTCCAACTTAGTTGAATGTCTCACGTTGTGGGTTTTCGTTTTAAAGGGTACCATGTAGCAACATAGTATGTGTGTGGGTCTGTAATGCGACGTGTTCAATTGACTCAAGTGCCAACACGCTTTGCCCTCACTAAAGTCCGAAGTACCGGCGCTGTCTCAATGTGGCAGGATCACCAGTCGGACTCCGCGCTCTCGCAAATGACAAAATCACTGATATGAGAAGAGCCTCAAATAGAGCTCCGTCGAACGGCCGGGAGCTCTACATCGGCTCCCGGCCGTTCTTTAGGGCCGGATTATATCGTGTTATACCGTAAATGCCTTTTTTGCTATATGTTTCTTGAGCTCGGCGGATACTCGAGGGGCGAACAACCGTCACAGTTTGGTGAGTAATTAACTAAGCTCGTTAGTTCATTTTCTGAATGAGTGCAAATAAACTTGTGGTTTTAATTAGAAACTTACTGAGCGTTATCGAAAACCACTAAATCAACTCTTCTTCAAACGACTTGAAGCTCGTGGGAAACTCGGGGGCGCGCCAAAGTCACCACTCGTGAAGCGGGCGCAAAGCTAGCAGTGGTGGAACGCGATAACGATCAAATCATCTGCGTTCCGCTAATCTGGCTTTGCGCCTGCTTCACGAGTGCTAACTGTGGCGCGCCCCCGAGTGTCCCACGAGCTTCAAGTTGTTCTAGAGAGAATTGACTCAGTTATTTTCGATGACGCTCAGTAAGGTTCTAATTGGAACCCTGTGGCTATTTTCACTCATTAAAAAGTTAATTAACGAATTTCAGTTAATTACTCGCCAGACAGTGATGGTTGTTTGCCCCTCAAATGTCCGCCGAGCTAGAAAAACATACAATGAAGACGGCATTAACGTTACAGTACATACGCCTTAAAAAATGTTTCGAATCAAAAATATTACCCGGCATAACCTGCGGGAATTGAAGAGCCCGGGTGGTTGGTAGTATTAGGGAGCCTTCGTGTGCGCTTTGCTAGTGTGATGCCACCCTTTGTAATACCGCTCGCCGATAAAGCAGCAGCCACTTTGGTTCTCGGCGATAATCCGTGGTGCTTATAACCCTCCCGGAAACAAGCACCTTACCTCACAAGTTCGGAGCAGCGGTGTTGAACCCACGGAGGGAGGATTAGCATTTTCTCCCTCGGATGGGAGGACCGATGGACACAAAGGCTACTTCCCGGCGCACGGGAAAACAATGAGAGGAACTAAATGGCGGTGGAAGAGGGTGTGGGAAAGGGAAACAGGCAGCTGGCATCACTCTATGCGAAGCGCACATGAAGGCACCCTAGGTAGTATAGGTTCGCTTCCCGGAAGGTTGGACGCGTCCAAAAAAAGGGCTCGAAGGGTGTGCCTACGACAAACCCACCAAGAAGGCGAGGGAGAGCCGTCTACAAGGGAATACGGCCTGGCCTCGCATCTGGGACACGCCCCGACATGGCGACGCCCCATGGCCTGCCTGAGCTAGACCAAGATAGGGAGGCACGTGGTTACCATAACATGTACACAAGTTTCCACTGGGCCGTCAGGCAGGGCCACGTAACTTTCGCCACGGACGTCAAATAAAACGAGTTGTGGATTTTTTTATTGACGCTACATAGTCCATAAACCCACATCAAGAAAAACTTGAAAGACGCGCCTGTGCAGTCTTGTTCCTTCAAACATATACCGGAGGCTGGTCAACCGGAAGTATACTATTTCCCCGAAGGTTCCGCCATTAGACGGGGTGGTGTGAAAAGCGCGCCGCTCTCCCGTGAAACTAATTGGTCCCTATAAGCGTTGATGACCCTAGGGCTAAATTTGACTCTACATGTTTTCCCGCTCATAATAATCCAAATGCCAGCTTTTTTGATCCGAGTGTCCCTGAATTTGATCCAGCTATGTACCAATTTAATCTATGTTTGATATAAATTAAACCCACGCCATTCATTTTAATTTGAGAGTCACTAAGTTTAATCCGATCATGTATGTGAATTAACTATGACTACTAAATCATATGTTACAAGCGTTTTAGAGGTCCAAGTTGCTTGAAAGTCATGAATGACTTTGTACTATATATGCGCGTTGCATGACTGGTTCTCTCGTGACTTTTGGTAGATTTCTTAGACCATAATGCGAAACCTCGGGACTGAAGAATGGGGATGTTTTGTCGGCCTTAGAATAGTAAAAAAATTTAAAAAAAAACTTGACAGTAAAACCGTGTTTAGAAAATATGTATTTCAATTAGGTGTATTCGTTCAACGGCATAACCATTTTCATTGCAAATAAATATGCTGATTTTCGACTGCGTATCAGAGATGAACCGAAACCCAAAGGAGGCTCAAAGAAGACATTCGACTTCGTTGTTGTGGAGGATCTGGCAGCTATGGCGGATAAATACCCGACCTACACGCTGAAGCAACTCAAACAAGAGCTTGAAGCAACTCGACCAGGTACCCAAATCAGGCTATGTAGTACAGTTGATAGACTGTTAGATGGACACGGTAATGCAGCGAAGCAACTTTTCTGCAGCCGGTTGACCGAATTCGCGGTGACGTAAGAAGTGCAGGAAAAGAATACGCTTCGTGGTTGCAGGGCAACAGCCTGCTTCAACTTCGATATAACGTTGACGAGACAAACTTCATAACTTGGTGTAGTCGGAGGTTTGGGAGGACAAAACGTGGGTGGAGCGCCGTCTTGAGAACTACAGGTACTAAAGGGCCCAATTTCAGCGTCCTCACATGCATGTCTTGCGAAGAAGTGTGGAGAAAGTGTCCTGGGTTGGCGTTCAACGAATTTCTGAAGAAAATTTCGAGGGAGATCATGGCAACAGCTTCTGGCTATACGCGGTTGTTATATTTGATAATGCACCCGCACACTGACGAGCCGCAGATGCCGCCTTGGCCGAAAAGCACTCTTTAAAGTACTTACCACCACACATCCATTCTTCAAACCAGTTGAAGATGTGTTTTCAAGTCCAAGTGAGTTGTGAAAGCTTAACTCAGTGAGCATACCGCAGCCGTACTTGCGCGGATTGAAGCTACAACCTTAAGGGGACACGGCAACGCAAGGAACAACGGCGACGCAAGAAGCAATGCAGAAAATTCAACGTGTTGATTGCGCGGCCTATCCCA